ATGAAGATGAAGAAGAAGAGAGACAAATGGGTTGTTTTGTAGCTTCTTTTTTTTTCACTAATATGGTTTTGGGAATTTTTAGATAATGATTGAACAAAGTGACTATTTTTTGTATTTTTTTATATTTTTGGGAATTGTTTTTTTGTATTTGTGTAAGAGAAAACCAAAAAAAAAAGTGAAAGATTGGGGACTGTGCACGCCGGTCCACATTTGTATATCTCATCATATCACCGTTCTGATTTCGACACGTCACCTGATTCATTTTTGATTTTTAATTACAAAATTAAATTTTGAGGATTCTGTTCTTTTTATCAAAAAAGTATTTTTTGCTCTTTTGTCATATATGAATGTACATTTTTTATGTTTTTATCAACTTAAAATTTCAACATCTTGTAAATTTATAAGAACAAGAAAATGGATAATAAAAAAAATCAAATGTGAATAAAAGTAGGGTAATAATATCGAATCTAATACTATTTTTGATTTTTCTTTTTTTTCTTTTGTGAAATAATGGCATTGTAATGATTAAGAATCATTGAGATACATGTTTAAACGAAAGAGAAAAACTTGGAAACTTGAGATACTACTACATGCCAAAAAGAAACTATTTAAAGATACTAGTAATAAATTTTACTGATCTCTGAAAAGTCTATAAATAGATTAGGGAAAGTGGATTTATTTATTTACCATCCGTCGATTTCACCACTCGCCATAATGAGCTTAATCATTTCTTTTTTTTTCACTGTGATCTCTTTTTGTTTTTGTTTTGGGTCACTGTGAACTTCATAATTATTTATTCAAAAAGATTCCGAATACAAAAAAATGAGCCAATGGAAAAATAACATAATAGCTAGGATTTGGATACAGAAATTCGTTTTATATTTTATTTTCTTATGGATAATTTCAAGAGTAAGAGAAGTAAATGCCACATGTTTTATTGAACTAGTAATTATTATGATAGTGAAAGGAAAAAAAAACAGAACAAGTTATTATGATTTTTCTTGTTTTTTTTTTTGGGTTTATAGAGAAGAAACAGAAGAAGTGGTTGTGTGTAAGGATTTGCAATGCAATTTAAATGATACAACAACAAAAAAATCAGTACTGAAACGTAAACAATCGAACTGACACTTTCTCCACTTTAGGGCATTACGTTTCTCTGTCACTTTGACCGTTGACTACCTCTCTTTCTTTTTTATCTCATAAATAAGGAATTTAATATATTTTCATTTGTGACCCAAAAATTTTACCATGAAAAATAAATAACAACATTATTTTAGCAACAGAAGTACTATTAAAAGTTCGAAGAGGATATGTGCCCTATCGAGCAGCAGATATGCAACTCATTCGCCACATACATATATAATATCTTCGTTTAGCTTAAATTTATTAATAAATATATAGTTTTAATTACCGGATTTATAAAATTAAAAACTTACGAATGTATAAAAAATGGCGAGCGTGTACGTATTGTGAGGCTCAAGCTCAAGCTAGATTCCTATAGCTTAACCTTGTTTTCCTCAAAAGATATCATTTTAAAATAGTATTTTCTTAAGGACATGCTTTTACACAGAAAATATATATATATGAGATTACTTTCTTTTCTATAGGACAAGTTTTTATTTTTGAATGGACACTTCACACACAAAAAATTGAAAATTATTCATCAACAAAAAAAAAAAAAAACTAACTAAGTTCATTTTTTCTGTTAGTTAGTTTAAAATGTCATTAACCGTCTACTGATTTTCTTTTGTATTCGGAGACTTTACTTTTCATTAAACGTGATTGATGGTTTTTAAATCTAAATTTAAACTTAAAAAGACTCGAACAACTATCCTCTAACCGATCCTACTAACCACACTCAATTTTCACTTTCACTAATTTCTATTGTTGGTTTGTGTTTTCGAAATTATACAAATAGTCTTCTTTGATTGTTATATGAAATCAGTTATTCTGGACTGTGGCATATGGATTATCTACTTCGTCTGATGCTTGCGTAGTTTTCCAATCGTGAAATACGTATTGAACAATAATCCGCTTCCAATCAACGTTCTTGTTGTATGTATAGCTTTTTATCTCGTGAATATTACTCATTTCCCTTTAATTTAAATTTAAGTATTTGTTTTTGGCTTTTTAGTCATTTTTTAAATATTTTCTTAACTTGATTATGTGCAATTATATTGTCAAGGCAAAAACCATATTATAAAGTTATCACAAAACTATATAATAATAAACATATGAGCCATATTGTCGATTTTTTTCGTTTGTCTATGTATGAATTTCAGAGAATGATATTGGTGGATTCTTTGGAGAAAGATGTTTGACCAATTTTGCACTTCTTACAAAATTTTAAATAATCAATTAGATTTGTTTTTCTTTGCATATAATCAACGTTGATGTGATTGTGATGTACATACTGGTCGCTGATTTATTTCATTTTCACAATTGAATTATAACGAAAAGTTTGTACTCAAATTGTTTGGTCAACAACGAAAGATTTCAACTCATTTAAAAGAATGTTCCATCAAATGCATATAAACAAAGAATTGCAAAAAGAAATTTACAAAAATACTATTTAGGAATGTTCATTTGCAAAAATGC